TTTCAAGCATTATGTGTTTACTAAAACACCAGAAATTATGGAAAGCAAAAGAAGAAAGAAAGCCTGTAATACCATGACCCAGTTTCATTACTATTTTAGTATACACACACACACGCACACACACACATATGTATATATACAATCATGCATTGCTTGATGATGGGGATACATTCTAAGAAGTGCATTGTTAGGCAATTTTGTCATTGTGTGAACATCATGGAGTACACTTACACAAACCATAGCCTACTACACATCTAAGCTATATGGTATAGCCTATTGCTCCTGGGCTACAAATCTGAACAGCATGTTACTGTACTGAATACCATAGGCAGCTGTAACACAATGGTAAGTATTTATATATCGAAACATATCTAACTATAAGAAAGATACAACAAAAATATGGTATGAAAGATTAAAAAATGGGCTGGGCAGTGTGGCTCATGCCTGTAATCCTAGCACTTTGAGAGGACAACGCAGGAGGATTGCTTGAGGCCAGGAATTCAGGACCAGCCTAGGGAACATAGCAAGGAATGGAACAATAACAACAATTAGCCACACCTGGTGGCATGTGCCTGTAGTCCTAGCTACTTAGGAGGCTGAGGTGAGAGGATCACTTGGGCACCGGAGTTCAAAGTTAGAGTAAGCTATGATTGCGCCACTGCACTCCAGCCTGGGAGACAGACGGAAAAAGATGAAAAATGGTATTACTGTGTAGGGCACTTGCCATGAATGGAGCTTATGAGACTGGAAGTTGCTCTGGGTGAGTCAGTGAGTGGCATGTGAATGTAAAGGCCTAGGAAACTAATGTACACTGCTGTAGACTATTTATTTGTTACACTGTACACTTTAGGCTGCACTAAATTTATTTTAAAAACTTTTTTTTTTTTTTTTTTGAGACAAAGCCTCACTCTGTTGCCCAGGCTGGAGTGCAGAGGCGCGAGCTTGGCCCACTGAAACCTCTGCAGTGGATTCAAGCAATTCTCCTGCCTCAGCCTTCCGAGTAGCTGGGACTACAGGCATGTGCCTGGCTAAATTTTGTATTTTTAGTAGAGAGGAGGTTTCACCATGTTGGCCAGGCTGGTCTCGAACTCCTGACCTCAAGTGATCCACCTGCCTTGGCCTCCCAAAGTGCTAGGATTACAGGGTGAGCCACCATGCCCGGCCCAAAAACTTTTCTTTCTTCAGTAATAAATAAATTAACCTTAGCTTACTATACCTTTTTTACTTTATAAACTTGTAAATTTAAAAAAAGCTTTTTGACTTTTGAAATAACACTTAGCTTAAAACACACATTGTACAACTATATAAAAATATTTTCTTTATATCTTTATAAGCTTTTGACTATTTTTACAAATTTTTATTTTTTTGTACTTTTAAAATTTTTTTGTCAAAAATAAAGATACATCTATATTAACCAAGGCCTACATAGAATCATCAATATTATTGTCTTCTGCCTTCACATCTTGTCCCATGGGAGGTCTTCAGGGGCAGTACCATGCATGGAGCTGTCATCTCCTATGATACAATGCCTTTTACTGCCTGAGGCTGTTTTACAGTTAACTGTAGGACTTTATATAATTGGAATCATACAATATTTGTGTTGTTTTGATTTACTTACTTCACTTTGCATAATATTCTTAAGGTTCATCCATATTGTAGCATATATCAGATTTGTCTTCCTTTTTAAAGCTGAATAGCATTTCATTGTATATAACACATTGTATTTATCCATTCATTTCTTGGACACTTGGATTACTTCCCTGTTTTCATTTAGGTTATCTAATTTGCTGGTGTACAGTTGCTTATAATATTCTTACAATCTTTTTACTTCTATAGAACAGTAGTAGTGTTTACCACTTTCATTTCTGATTTTGGTAATTAGTGTTTTCCCTTTTTTTCTATAAGTCCATCTAGGTAAAGTTTGTCAATTTTGTTGGTCTTTCTGAAGAACCAACTTTTGGTTTCATTGATTTTCTGTATTATTTTTCTACTATCTTCGTTTATCTCTTTTCTAATCTTTATTATTAATATTTCCTTCTTTCTGCTCACTTGGGGTTTAATTTGTTCTTTTTCTAGTTCCTTAAGCTGTAAAGTTAGGTTGTTGATTTGAGATTGATCTTTTGTGTTTTTTTTTTTGTTTGTTTTGAGATGGAGTCTTGCTCTCTTGCCCAGGCTGGAGTGCAGTGGTGCTGTCTTGGCTCACTGAAACCCCTGCCTCCCAGGCTCAAGCAATTCTTCTGCCTTAGCCTCCTGAGTAGCTGGGACTATAGGCATGCGCCACTTGCCCGGCTAATTTTTGTATTTTGAGTAAAGACGGAGTTTTGCCATGTTGGCCAAGCCTGTCTCCAACTCCTGGCCTCAAGTGATCCACCCACCTCTATCTCTCAAAATGCTGGGATTACAGGCGTGAGCCACTGCGCCCAGCCTCATCTTGTAAAATAATGTAGGTATTTGAAGCTATAAATTTCCCCCATAGCACTGCTTTCTTTTCATATTTACATTTTGCCCACACATAGTTTTCTTTAGTTTTACCATTTTGACCTTTAATTCTTTGAACATCTTTAAAACCATTGTTTTAGTATCTTTGTTTAGTAGATCTGCCATCAATTCTTTTTCAGGGACAATTTGTATTGGCTTATTTTTCCCTTTGAATGGGCCATACTTCTCTCCTTCTTAGCATGCCTTGTGATTTTTGTTGAAAAGTGGCGATTTGAATGTAATAATGTGGTAACTCTGCTCTCATTTTTTTTTTTTTCAAACATCAACTTGAACCAGAATACCGGAATTGTGGTAATTCTGCAAATTAGATTCCCCTCCTTGCCCAGAGATTTTTTTTTTTTTTTTTTGATAGTTAAAAAGTTTTTAAATGTAGGTAGTCTGTACTGAGCTGTACCTGAGGTGTTAAAATCAGGTCTTCTGAAATCTTTTGTGAACCTGCACCTTCCCGTGGGCTTCTGTGGTGACTTTCCAATTTCTCCCTTAAATGTGGTTGCTTTAGAATGTCTTCAAGATCTGGCTCTCAAAAGGGGAAAAAGAGAAAAATTAAGGGAGAAGGAAAAGGCGTCAGTTCTTTGAATCCTCTGAAAGTCACTTCAGTGAGAAGGAGAGGAACTTGCATCAATGCTGAGGGAAATGCAACAACAGTGGTCACCCCCTCTCTTTCTGCACCTCCATGATCAGAAGTGGTAATCTGAGGTCAGAGCACAGAGCCCCAATATTTTAAGTCAGGGTCCTTTTTGCCCACCCTTCCTGTGGTAGCTATTTGCAAGATGCTCCAGAAACATATGCATGATTGCCTGCCATGGTTTTAGGGGTGGGAGGTGGTGACTGCCACTGTGCTAAGGGCTGAAATTGGCCAAAATTAATCATAATTTATCATCCAAGGCTTCCCCTGGATGTTGCAAGCCTTCATGACTCCTAGTTCCAAAATGGTTACATGATTCATTCTGCGAGTGCAATTGTTACCTAGCCTGGGAGTCAGATTCCTGGTGTTGACTAAGCTGCCATCTTCCCAGAATCCTCTCTCATTTTTTAACCTTGAATCCACTGGAGACTTTTTTTTTTTAAATAAACATTTAAAAAGATAATATAGTCTTTGTTTTATTGTATTGGCCATTTGAAGCACCCTTGAATAAGCATGAATCTTTATGTTTAAAATGAGACTTCTTCCTTTTGTTATTTTGAAATTAAGAAATTAGTTATTCAAAACAAATATAAGATCTTAAACAGTTATATTTTTATATAAGAAATCAAATCTTTTAGTGAATTTAAATGATTTTTAAGGTGAGAATTTTGGTTTCTTGCCTTTTTATTTCAGTGCTTTCCTTTTTTTTTTTTTTTCTACTTCTTACTCTCATGTCTTTGCGCTGGTGCAGTGATTTTAAGAGCACCGATTCCTGGCACATACTGGTAAAGTCTTTAAACTCAGGATATTCAAGGTAAATTGTTAGTAGTACCACATTTTGTTGACTCTACAATGCCTATGTTTGTAAGGCACACTGTTATTTTATATACCATTAAGATAGAGGAAAATACTGCTAATCGTCATTAAAAGATGCATTCCAGTATCATAAATGTTAATATAGGTAAAGGATGTACTGGCTAAGTGCATTGACTCATGCCAGTAATCCCAGTGCTTTGGGAGGCCAAGGCAGGAGTATTGCTTTGAGGCCAGGAGTTCAAGACCAGTCTGGGAAACCTAACAAGACTCCATCTCTACAAGAAGTATTTAAAAATTAGCCAGATGTGGTGGTGTGCACCTGTAGTCCCAGCCACTTCGGAGGCAGAGGTGGGAAGATCTCTTGAGCCAGGAATTAAAGGCTGCAGTGAGGTAGGACCTCATTTACTGCTGCACTTCAGCCTAGGCAACAGAACAAGACCCTGTCTCTAAAAAAACAAAACAAAACAAACAAACAAAAAGGGTGTACTTTAGAATCTTTGAAATATAATACATATATGGAAAGTATGCTCTCATCATTCCACCATTTTGAGCATTTTTCATATTCAGAAGCCAATCAAATTTGATTTTCACCTTGTTTTCATTAGTTCCCTCTTACATTGGTTAAGTTCAGTAAACATCTTTAGTGCCTAATATATAGTAGCTATTCTTGTAACAGTAGCCAACATTTATATAGATTTTACCATGTGGTAGGCACTATTTTGAGTGCTTTATGTATTTCAAGTAACTAAATTTTATAATATCCTTATGAGGTGAGTACTGTTATTATCCCCATTTTAGCAAGGAGGAAACTGAGGAAGAGAGAAGTGAGGTGATTTGGCCAAGGTCATACAGCTAGTTGGTGGTAGAGCTGGGGTTTGAATGTAGATCCTCTGACTGTAGAGACCATGCTGTTAGCAGTATTCCTAAGGACATAAAAGTGAATAAAATATTGACCTTTCCCTCACATATCTTACCAGGCAGTATTTGAAGGTGTGTTGATAGATTTACATGAAATTATTAAGTTATCCTTCTGATAATTAATTTTTCTTTGTATTTTTAGGACATTCAGTCAGAAGAAGGCTGCTATTGAAAGAGAGTATGCACAGGTAAGGTTGGAATTGGAGGTCCCATTCTAGGTATACTTATTTTCTGTGGCTTAAGGACAGAAATGGTTGTTGGAGACAAGCCATAGTATCCCTATGCCTTCCTTTTCTTGTTTTTTTTTTTTTTTTCTGAGATGGAGTCTCGCTCTGTCGCCAGGCTAGAGTGCAGTGGCGCGATCTTGGCTCACTGCAACCTCCGCCTCGCAGGTTCAAGCAATTCTCCTGCCTCGGCCTCCTGAGTAGCTGGGACTACAGGCATGTGCCACCACGCCCAGCTAATTTTTGTATTTTTAGTAGAGACGGGGTTTCACCATGTTGGCCAGAACAGTCTCAATCTCTTGGCCTTGTGATCCGCCTGTCTTGGCCTCCCAAACTGTTGGGATTATAGGCATGAGCCACTGTGCCCAGCCCTTTTCTTGTTACTTCTCTCTCACTTTGATCCCCCACTTTGCTCTGTTTGAATCGTTATAAAGAAGGTTGTAAACCTGGAGGAGATATTATTTATAATATTTGTAAAGTATTTACAAGTATGAATATTGATACTTTTTACAAGTATGTTGATTTATTCTTTTTTATATGCCCCATTCTCTGCAGTTTATGGAAGGTTAATTTTTCATCAGGCATTTGGTTCTCATTATGACTGTGTTGATAAAGAGTAATAATGCTTTCAGTGGATGACATGGAGCTTTTCCTAGGAAAATTGAAGCATTTCCTTCTTTAATTTTACTTAGACCTTTAGTGCAGTCCAGATTACTAAATGTGACAAGAAAAAATTATGTTGATATATCATTTTGTGGTTGTGTAAGAATTAACAACTACTCTTTCATGTACAAAGATAATTTAATACAATTTGGAAATTTTGACCCTTTAAACAATTACTTTATCTGTGGGGTAGTATTCTAAAATTGTTACTTACTTCCGCAAATTGTAAAAGTTGTCTTTGTAGCAAAAATTTTAAAATATGGGAGATTGTTAGAAGGAAAAATTAACATAGAGTAAATTTTCTACATGGTAACCACTATTGCTGCTACTATTGTTATTCTCATTATAAATAATGAGAGATTGGGGCATGACTCTTTTAGGCTTTGTCAGATTTTTTAATAAAATTCTAATTTCATTATAGTTAATTTGGTAACTGTCTGCCTTTATTTTGGATTTGATAATCTTAGAAGAAAATCACCTATTCCTTGAAAGCTAGACAGAACTAATTAGTTCATTGGTTCAATCAGTAGTTGTTGAGTGCTTATTATGTATCAAGTGCTTTACATAATGAATAGCATCAGTTTTAATATTTCTGTTGAATGCTTTTTCTTTCTTTATTTTTTTTTTTGAGATGGAGTCTCACTCTTTCGTTCAGGCTGGAGTGCAGTGCCGCGATCTTGGCTCACTGCATCTTCTGCCTCCTGGGTTCAAGAGATTCTCCTGCCTCAGCCTCCTGAGTAGCTGAGATTACAGGCACACACCACCATGCCCAGCTAATTTTTTTGTATTTTTAGTAGAGACAGGGTTTTACCATGTTGGCCAGGATGGTCTCAATCTCTTGACTGTGTGATCCGCCTGCCTCGGCCTCCCAAAGTGCTGGGATTACAGGCATGAGCCACCGCACCCAGCCGATTTTTGTATTTTTAATAGAGACGGGGTTTTGCCATGTTGGCCGGGCTGGTCTCGAACTCCTGACCTCAGGTGATCCACCCACCTCGGCCTCCCAGAGTGCTGAGATTACAGGCGTGAGTCACTGCACTCAGTATTGAATGCTTTTTCTATGCCTGTATAATAAATACTAGTAATGATAGCTGACATTTATTGAATCCTTTGTACCATGCTGTATTTTATGTATGTTATCTGGTTTGATCCTCTCAAACCTGTGAAATAGCAACAGTTATGATGCCCTTTACAAATACACTCTCATACGTGTAAACATACACTACATATATATTTATAAATTTGAGATGAAAGTCTATGATACACTATTTTAGCCAAGTGCAGTGGCACATGGTTGTAATCCCAGCTACTAGGGAGGCTGAGGCAGGAGAATTGCTCGAGCCCTGGAGCTGGAGATTGCAGTGAGCTGAGATAGTGCCATTGCACTGCAGCCTAGGCGATGGGAGTGAAACCCTGTCTAAAAATAAATAAATAAAAAGAAAGAAAAAAAGTCTATGATGTACTTTAAAAATTTTAATAGAAATCAAAACTTTTATATGATATAGTCTTCTGTAACAAGATTTAAAGTTTTTTTTTTTGTTTTTCTTTTTTGAGATGGAGTCTTCTTGCTCTGTCACCCAGGAAAAACCGGAGTGCAGTGGTGCAATCTTGGCTCACTGCAACTTCCGCCTCCTGGGTTCAAGCGATTCTCCTGCCTCAGCTGGGATTACAGGTGCCTGCATCACACCTGGCTAATTTTTGTCTTTTTAGTAGAGACAGAGTTTCACCATGTTGTCCAGGCTGATTTTGCACTCCTGACCTCAGGTGATCCGCCCACCTCAGCCTTCCAAACTGCTGGAATTACCATACCCAGCCTCTATATCTTTAAATAATATGCTTATAACTGACTCTTTATCAATTCTAAACATTATCACTTGATTACCTATAATAAATGAGAAACTTACTATGCTGTTCCTCTCCAGCCTACTTTTTTCAATATAATCGTGGCACTATTTTAGTACCTTTGTTACTTTTGTAACTCTAAATGATATATTTAAACTTGCTCTTTTTTTTTTTGGTCAAATACATATATGCACATAGATATTTATGCTATGTATCTGTGTGTAAATATGTATGTATGCAGGTACAGTGGAATTACATTTTACAGAGTGGTCAAAGTCAAATTTACTTGAAAATTTTCCTTTCTTTCTTTTTTTTTTGACACAGAGTCTTGCTCTATCACCCAGACTGGAATGCAGTGGTACAATCATAGCTTAGTGTAATCTTGAACTCCTGGGATCATGTGATCCTCCTGCCTCAGCCTCCTGAGTGGCTGGGACTACAGATGCGTGCCACCATGCCCATCTAGTATTTTTATTTTGTAGGGAAAGGGTCTTACTTTGTTGCCCAGGCTGGTCTCAAACTCTTGGGTTCAAGTAATTCTCCTGTCTTGGCCTCTCAGAGCACTGGGAATTAGAGGCATGAGCTACCACGCCTGGCTGAAAAATTTATTTAAATGTCTCTCACATAGAGTATAGCTGGTTTTGTTTATACAATCCTATATAATAATGTATGTAAACTATGTAAGGTATCTAATAATGCATTAAAAAATTTTTATAAAGTAATCATATGCAGAAATTAAAATGCTCCAGTGTGTCTCTGCTTGGGACAATCAAGCCCATTTATAGAGAGCCAGTTTACTGCCTGTTTTTGTTACTTATCACATTTGCCCTTTAGATGATCCTTCTCAGTTCTTACTCTTTAATGTTTTCCCAATTAATTTTCAACTTATTTCCTGAGTTATAGACACAGATATTTCTATCCTCTTTCTTTGGTTGTGTAAACATTGTTTTTACTTCTGGTCAATAGTAGAGAAACCTCTGAAATAATTAACATATTCTTTCTGTAGATTTTGCCAGTATACATTGATTATTTCAGGCTTATTTGCATTTCCTGTATGAGGGCAGGATGTGGTCAGAGAGGACAGTTGCATTATTTAAATTATTTACTTCTAGACCAGGCGCAGTGGCTCACACCTGTAATCCCAGCACTTTGGGAGGCTGAGGTGAGCGGATCACGAGGTCAGGAGTTCGAGACCAGTCTGGCCAACATGGTGAAACTCTGCCTCTACTAAAAATACAAAAAAAAATTAGCTGGGCGTGGTGATGGGCACCTATAGTCCCAGCTACTCGGGAGGCTGAGGCAGAAGAATCACTTGAAACGGAAGGCGGAGGTTTCAGTGAGCCGAGATGGCACCACCGCACTCCAGCCTGGGCAACAGAGCAAGACTGTCTCAAAAAAAAAGAAAAAAAAAATTATTTATTTCTCTTACCTCTTTTGGCTTAGTGTAGAGTTAAAATTTTGGGGGATAAATTTTAAAAAGTTGAAATATAGCCTATTTGTAGTAAGATGGAGAAGTCCTTAGTACACTGATAAATTTTTGTGAACACACTCATGTAACTGTTATCCAGATTAAGATATAGAACATTACCAGCAGGCCAGGCGCAGTAGCTTATGCCTGTAATCTCAACACTTGGTGAGGCCAGAGCAGATTGATCACTTTAGACCAGGAGTTTCAGACCAGCCTGGACAACATAGTGAGACCCCATCTCTATACAAAATAAAAAAAAATTAGCCAGGCGAGGTGGTGCATGCCTGTAGTCCTAACTACTTGGAGACTGAAGCAGGAAGATCACTTGAGTCCAGGATTTCAAGGGTGCGGCTGTGATGGTACCACTGCACTCCAGACTCAGTGATAGAGTGAGACCTTGTCTCTAAAAAAGAACAATCCCCTATCCCCCAAGAACATTATCAGGGCCCCAGAAGCAGTTAATATTCATACCTTTCAATGGCAACTGGTACTTTTTTTTTTTTTTAATCAGAATAGTTGTTATTTTTTGGATTTCTGATTCTTGAACTTAAGTGGTGTCATAGAATATGTACCCTTCTGTGTCTGATTTCTTTCATTCAGTATTCAGCTTTTAAGCTTCATGCATGTTGTTGCATGTAGTAGTAGTTCATTCTTCTTTACTTTATTGTGTCCACTGAATGAATATATCACGATTTATACTGGTGAAGAAAATTCCTATTGTTTTTGTTTTGTATGAGTTTTGACTAGGGCTTCTAAGCAAAGGTTTTATACATGTCTTTAGGTGGACATATGAACATATCTCTCTTTGGTATATGTCTATGAGTAGAACTGCTGGGTCATTGGGCATGTGGTATGTTCTACTTTAGTAGATACAGCCAGTTTTCCTAAGTGACTGTACCAGTTTACGTCCAGCAATGTATGAGAGTTCCAGTTGCTTCATATCTTTGCTAAAGTTTAGTATTCTCTAAAATTAAAAAGACTGACATTTTGA